CCTCCTGACACGGGTCCAGGAGGATCAGATTTAACCTGGTGCGGAGTCTTCTCCCCATTAGCAACTCTGCTGGAGCTATCTCTGTAGCTGCATGAGGGCTGGTCCTATAATCAAGTTGGAACTGGGGCAGTTTAGTATCTTTTAAGCTGTAGGCTGTTTCTTACCCTACCTTCAAAGTTTGGACTGCAAGTTCTGCCAGACTATTTGATGATAGATGGTTAGGTACTGTCCTTATTTGTTGAATACCACTTGACTTTGGGAAATACTCGAATTCCATGCTAGTAAACAATGTCCCATTATCTGTGACCAACTTTTGGGAGTCCATGTATTGAAAAAGATGCGTTCAATTTTTAAGTCATCGTCCCCATCTTCAATGAATGAACTCTATGCACGTCCAGACACTTTGAGTGGGTATCTACAATGACTAAGAAGTAACTGAGTCCAGAGTTTACCTGGCCATTCCCACAAATGTGGGGGAGCTTTTGGGGGCAGTAGTCTTTCTCCTTGTTGGTACTCTGAGCACTGTCCCACCAACGTGGCAATGTCTACATCCAATTCTTGCCACCAGACATAACTTCGCATCAACATCTTCAACTTGGAATCTCCCGATGGAGTTCAAACAGTAAGTGGCACTGACCTTGGCTCAGGATAATCACTCATGCTCCCCATAATGATAAGCCATCCTCTACTGTGATCTGGTCTCTGCGAGTCCAAAAGGGCTTCAGTTCTGGTTGTGATGGCCCTTTGGCTTCCCCCATCACCACCAGCTGTTTTAGTTTTGCCAGGACCGGATCTTTCTGCGTCCAAAGTCTAATATTGTCAATTGTGTCATGGAGTTTGTTCAGAAAATTTAAAGCAATTATGGACTCTTCCAATGGTGCCACCACTGGTGGTGGATCCGCCAGCAGGAGGTGGCTCAATGCATCCGCATTCACTACTTGCCTTCCCGGATGATGTTCTAACTTTTATATATACGCACTTAGTATTAGAGTCCACTGCTGATACTGGCCTGAAGCTGTGGGCAGCACTGCCTTGTCCTCTTTAAGTAGACCTGGCACAGGTTTGTGGTCCGTTATTATTATTACAAACTTATGTCCATAAAGGTATTGGTGGGATTTTCTGACTCCAAATATGACCACCAAACATTCTTTCTCTATTTGGATGTATTATGCTCTGCATTAGCCAAAGTACTGGATGCATACGCTATCAGGCATTCCTCTCCATTGGGCCACCTATGGGCTAATACCCCAATGCCGTAAGAGGAGGCATTGAATGTCAATACCAGATCTCGCTTTGGATCATAGTGTGCCAACACCTTAGAGGCTGATAGCTGTTTCTTCACTTCACTGAAAGCTTTGGCTTGGCTACGTGACCATTTCTAAGGCTGACCCTTTATTAAGAGTTGATGCAAAGAAGACAAGATGGAGGCCAGGTTATATACGATCTTTTTGTAATGATTCACCAGTCCAAGGAAAGACCTAAACTCTGGTACAGACATGAGAACTGGGGCACTTTTGATCAGCCTCACTTTATCTTCCAACGGGTGTATCTCAGTCTTGTCAACTCTGTAGCCCACGTAGATCAATTGGGGTGTCTGGAACACACATTTTTCCCTTCTAAGGCCTACACCCAACTGGGAGAAGTATCAAAGTACTATATTCAAGTTCTCTAAGTGCTCCTTATTGGTCTTCCCGGTAATTAGCACATCGTCTAGACAAATGGCAACCTGGGGTAGACCTTGTAAAATGTTCTCCATCACCCACTGAAAATGCTGGCAGTCTCCTATATTGGTACAAACCCTTACGGGTATTAATTGTAACATACTTCTGGGAATCCTCATCTAACCACAATTGCAAGTATGCATGGCTCATGTCCAACTTTGTGAAGGACAGCTCCCCTGCCAGCTTTGTGCATAAACCCTCTATGTGAGGGATTGGGTATTTATCCAGCTGCAAGCAGTTTACCGTTTGTTTAAAATCCCCACAAAGGCAAACTGACCCAACGAGCCTCACAATCAGTACGGCCAGTGCTGCCCATTCCGTAAACTGGACTGGTTTGATGATTCTTTCACTTTGCAGCCTTCTGATTTCTGTCCCTACTTTTGTTCGAAAGGCCAATGGCACTGGGCAGGCCTTGCAGAATCGTGAAACTGCTTCCTGGTTAACATGCAAGATGGTCTTGACTCCTTTGGTAGTCCCAAGATCTTACAGAAAAGCGTCTGGGTATTTAATTAGGGCTTCACTCAGGAAACCATTTTGTAATTGAAAAGTGTTGAGCAAATCAAGTTGAATCTTTCTCAGATAACAAGGTGTAGGGCTGGATGAACACAGCAGGCCAAGCAGCATCAGAGGAGCAGGAAGGCTGACGTTTCGGGCCGAGACCCTTCTTCAGAAATGGGGGAGGGGCCTCCCACCTATCCCCTCCTCGCACCTCAAGCCCCACCCCCATCTCCTACCTACTAACCTCATCCCGCCCCCTTGACCTGTCCGTCCTCCCTGGACTGACCTATCTCCTCCCGAACTCCCCACCTACACTCACCTTTACTGGCTCCATCCCCGCCTCTTTGACCTATCTGTCTCCTCTCCACCTATCTTCTCCTCTATCCATCTTCTATCCGCCTCCCCCTCTCTCCCTATTTATTTCAGAACCCCCTTCCCCTCCCCCAGTTCCTACTATCTCAGACACATATTTTAGTTCTGTCTTCACAAAGGATAATGCAAATATGTCCCAGAAATGTTGGGAAATGCAGGGTCTAGTTGAAAGAAGGAACTGTAGGAAATCAATATTAGTAGGGAAATGGTGTTGGGAAATTGATGGGATTAAAGGCTGATAAATCCTCAGGACCCTATAATCTACATTGCAGAGTACTCAAGGAAGTGGACCTAGAAATAATAGATGTATTGGTGGTCAAGATCCTATAGACTCTGGAAGAGTTTCTTTGGATTAGAGGGTAGTTGATATAATGCCACTACTTAAATTAAGGGGAATTACAAATCAGCTAACTTGACATCAATAGTAGGGAAAATGTTGGATCTCATTATAAAAGATTTAATAGCAGAGCATATGGCCAAATCTACTGGATTTTTTTGAGAATGTAGAGTTGATAAGGAGGAGCCAGTGGATATGGTTTACCTAGACTTTCAGAAGGCTTTTAGTAAGGTTGCACCTATGAGATTACCATATAAGATTAAAGTGCAATTGTGGGTAGTGTACTAACATGGGTAGAGAACTGGTTTGCAGACAGGAAGCAAAGAGTTAGAATAAATTATTCTTTTTCCTAGTGATGAGTAGGCTACTGCAGGGATCAGTGCTTCGACCCCAACTATTCACAACAGCTAGTGCAAAAAATGATGAGATGCTTCCTGCTATGAAGACAGACTGGATAAGTTATTCACTAGACCTAAGAAGAATGCAGGAGATCTCATGGAAACCTATAAAATTTTAACAGCATTAAATAGGGTAAATACAGGAAAAATGTACCCTATGGCCAAGGAATCCATAACCAGGGATCACAGTTTAAGGATAATGGGGTAGGCCATTTAGGACTGTGATGTGGAGAAACTTCCTTCACCCTGGGAGTGGGGAGCCAATGAAATTCTCTGTCACAGAAAATGGTTGAGGCTAATACATGGAATATTTTCAAGGTGTTAGATATATTTCTTAGTGCTAAAGGGATCAAAGGATATGGGAGAAAGCGAGAACAGAGTGTTGAGTTGGATAATCAGCCATGACCATATTGAATAATGGAGCAGACTCAAAGGGCCGAATGGCCTACTCCTCCTACTTTCTACCGTTCTATGAGTAGCTCAATCAAATGTCTACTCAGTCTTCTCCAAGTATGATGTAAAATATGTGATCTATATATAATTTTGGATTATAATTGTGTGTCTGAAGGAGTTGATGATGAATTGGTAGGAATTTCTGCAGCCATAGTGATTTTACATTTTATAATAGTCTGATAGAGCTAGTTCAGAGAGTCTAATCCGAACTTGTTTACTTTGGGGAGTTTATGAGTGAACAAATTAAACAATATGATCTCTTAGATTTTCAGATAGAAGATTCTGTAATTTTTGGGGAATTTAGGGGAAACTTTCAGAGAAAAAAAAAGCTTCTTAGTTTCAGTTTGGGGCAATTGTTTGAAACCTTGGCTGAAGTTAGATGTGTAAAACAGTTGCTCCTAAGAAAGGGAGGTTGTTTAGGAGTGTTAGGAAATAGGTTAACTCAGCAAAAGGAGTGTTTGACAAATGAAGGAGTTATTTGAAGCTGAGAATGTCTAAGCTCAATTGTATGAAGCCTCCAGGAATAGGCTATCAGGTTTTCAAGTTGGGGAATTGACACCACAGTTAAATTAAGCTCTATAGATATTAAAGTAAAAGGGAGTCTCTCACTGGTGTGAGGGCTGAGAAGGACTGCATTTGGGATTAATGAATTCTATTCTACCATGTATTTTGAAATCTTTAAAATGTGCTACAAGCAAATGTATTTATTTATGTTATCATCATTTCTTTTGCACAATAAACTTCTGTCTTATGGTTAAACTGCAGCATTGTATCTTTGTGTTTCAGTGAAAGGTCATCATGTTAAAACCAAGCCGGATTTCAGTCTGGGATTAGACTTGTCAAGAAATGCCATCAGGCGGGCTTCTAAAAGGAAATCAGTCCCAACTTCTCCAATGCATTAACAGAACTGAAATTCATCAACCTTAGAATCATTCTTGTGACTTTTATTCTGGTCTAATACCTTCACATTTTTCTGTAAGTGTACTGCCCACAGTGAACCCAATAAGTCAGTTGAGGACAAACCATTGCTTAATATGCAAGTTCAACATAACCTTCTTGTTCCTGATCACAATGTCCTGATTGATAAAACCAACAATACTCAGTGTTAGAGAAACCTGACCGTCCTTGTACATTTTTATTTATTTGTTGTCACATGTATAGGGCTGACTCATGATGTGGAGGTGCTAGTGTTGACAAAGTCAGAAGTCACATGACACCAGGTTATGGTCCAACGGGTTTATTTGAAATCACAAGATTTCATAGTGCTGCAATTTCCCAAACACTACAAGCAGCGAGCCCTGGAGCAGCATGTGGGCTGCAAGGCCCTGAACAGACCAGCAGCGAGCCCTGGAGGAGCCCGCAGGCAGCAAGTCCCAGGCGGCTGGAGACCAGCGCGAGGGAGGCAGTCCTGGAATGTACCTAAGAGCAGCTGAGTGCCAGTATGGAGTGGACTTGGGCTTGGAGGGGAGTGGGGACAGCTCTTGGACTGGGGTCTGGTGGGGGTGGTCAAACCATGCACAGAGGCCCTGTGCTGAGCTACTACAATGTAATGTATATTTGAAATTTCTTAACTTACTTTATTGTCAACCCTTTAATGATGTCCTATTTTTAGCTTACTTTTCAATTCTGTAAAGTAATGCAATTACTTTTATTCCACTACCGTATCCAAGAATTGTACCTAGGTACTTGTACCTAAAATGTCGCCATACGAAGGCAGACATTGTAAAAGCTACAATGGAGTACATATGACAATAAAAGGATATTCTTTTCTATATTCTATTCTATTCTAAATACAGTGAAAATTGTTGTATAATGTCACCATTCTCCCCTTCCACCTTAAAACACAGAAAAATAAAACAAAACAATACCACACAAAGGCAGAGAAATAAAGAAACAGTGTTCAACTTTACAGCCCTTCTTGTTAAATGCTCCGTCATGGATCACGGGCTTGGTGACCAGCCACGAGTCTCCATCGCTGCGCCACCGTTGCTGGAACAAGAGTCGCAAATCTTCAGCACCATCACACCTCCATCAATGCCCCCTCCACTATGAGTCCTTGCTGGACCTCGACAATACAGCCACCACCGATGCCGCTGTGTACCACACCCAGCCCAAACTCGACTCTGCTTGCTGCCATGAGTCCACTTTGGCCCCACCTTGCTGTTGTAGCCACTGATGCTGGGGCTCATACTGGGCCCAAACTCGCCTGAACCTCCACGAATCTGCGCTCGACACAGAGAATCCAAATTCGCCTCTGCCACAGCAGCCATGAGTCGGAACTAAGACACTTTGATGATGCAGAAGCACTGGGCTCACTTTGTGTCCACGCTGGGCTTAGTTGCCGACTGCTGTAAGTCCACGCTGAGTTCACTTCGCGTTTACACTGAGCCCACTCACCGCCGATGCCAACTCCACAACTGAGCCCTACAATAGGAGGTAAGTTTTAAAAAACCCTGAGAAATGAGGCAAAAAAAACCGAAAAGCTACTCCGCCGCTATCTTAGGTAATTCCAAGAATCACATAAAGTTAGTTTGCAGCTACCGAAAATGATTAGAAAGACAAATAAGATGTTGTCATTTATTGCAAGGGAAATGGAATATAAAGATCAGGAGAGAGGCTGTACTAGGTGCGGTAGAGATCACAACTAGAATATTGTCTAAGTGTTATTCTCCTTATTTGAAAAAAATGCATTAATGGTTTAGGAGCCGTTCAGAGAAAGTTCATGCCTCATTTCTGGGATGAATCTTACTAAGGGTTCATCAATTTACGCTTATATCCAACTGATTTTGGAGAAATGAGAGGTGATTTGGTTGAAACTTCCAAGATCTCAAGATGTTGAATAGGATGGATACCAGGAGAACATTTGCACTTGTGGGGTGATTAAAACTAGGAGATATAGTTTAAGATGAAGATATCACCATTTTAAAACAGAAATTAGAAGATTCAATTCAGAAGTTCAAGGTGAGGAACAGGAGGAAAATCTTTTTTACCCAGATGGTGGTGACAATCTGGAATGTGCTCATAGGAGGATAGTCGAAGCAAATTGCCTAACATCCTTTAAAAAGTACCTGAATGCGCACTTGGCACGTCATAACAGTCAAGGCTGTGGGCTAAGTGCTGGTAAATGGGAT